CTCGCTACAGAGCAGAAGATTAGTGACAGGGACTGTCATTGTAAAAGTGTGGGGGGATGTTGAACAGGGGAAAATGATTGTTTTCTTTTATGGTTTATTATTGCTTTTTTTGTTTGCTTTGCATGTATATTGTTTTGGGTTGTTGCTTTTCTTTTTCCTTTTCCCCTTTTGACAATCCAAACACCCTGGACTGAAGGTGGTTGTCTCGGGAGGCGGGGCGCACTAATTGGCCACCCAGACAGGTGTCAGCAGAGGCTGATTAGAGCCAAAATAAAAGGAGCTTGGCTGGGAAGAAGACAGAGAACTGGTTCTGCAGCCACGGGAACTGACACGCTGTGGGGAGCAGACGGAGCCCGCTCATCCGGCACAAGCGATCGAGAGTTGGACAGACGGCCCAGTACAGAGAATCAGGGCAGAGGGTAACCTCTGCCCGCGCCTGTAAGTAAAGTTTCTTTCTGGTCGAGCTGATCCTGCAGAGAGCTGGCAAAAAGCACGTCTTCCGACGGAGTTCTGGTGCGGGGATGCTGGCGCTTTTCCTGTTCTTTCCTTCTAGTTGGACCGAAACGTAAGGGGGCGTGGCACGCCGAGGAGTGGAGCGGTGGTGGAGCGCTGTGCGGCCGGCTGTAGTGCGCGCTACACATAGATCACCGCCACGAACAAGAAAATAAGCGGAGCCCAACCTGTGGCCTTCAACGGGTGACCTTTTTTTTATGGAACATTGGATTTTATAAAGAACAGTTTTTATTGTGCCACTACTTGTGACTCTTTTGATTAAAATACCTTGCACCTGACTGCTCCGCTGTTTGGGTTTTTCGAGTTGTTTGCTCCCCTTGTGTTGAAGACGGACTGTGGGCCAATTTGGCCTAACACCTATGTAAATGTCCCTATTTTGTTTTATTTAGGTAAATTGAACGTACATCTCTTCTGGATTCCAATAGCACTAGTATTTGGGCTGTTGGTGCTCAGCTACCTGGTTATTTATTATAGGTAAGTATCAGAAATTAGAGAATTATTAATTATCTCAATGAAGTAAAACCAAATCTGTTCTTAGTTTAGAATATGGACAACAATCCAAGTTCTCCACATATACAAAACATCCAATTACATACCTCCAAAAATTAGATTGTAGGAATGACAATGAGTGTCATTTGGACAGAAAAAGATAAGCGTGAGCCAAAAGCCAAAAAGTCAGCAACACTTCTGTCAGTATGTAGCCGACTTGCTTCCATGTGTAAATCAATGTCAGTGGTAGGTACAGTTTTCCTGGGGAAAGAGCAGATTATGGATTAGCTGCAGAGGCCTCTTTGAACAATTGCTGCACAAATTCCACAGTTGGACAAAAAAAGCCTGTTGAAACTTGTTTGCTGCCTGGGATTTGGAGAAGCCAGTGGAAAACAGGAGCAACATAGTCCTGTCAGAAAAAGGCCACAGCTGACCTTTTAGGGGTCATCACACACACAATGTTTGGAGGAAGAATGGTAAAAACTGAGCAAGACTACACACTCACTGTAACTGCACATGCCTTTGCAATGGATGATATTTAGTGTTTTAAATCGTGTTGTCTGACCATAACCCTTCTGAAGAAAATGTCATTATTTAGTAATCACTGTTATCGTTACAGTACATCACACCAAAAGCATCTTGAGGTTTGCAGAAGTATCATTATGTGTGATGTTTGTAATTTATTTAAATGAAGACAAACCTCTTTGTACTAAACAGCCTAATTATTAATGGGTACATTTGCTTTTCTTATGAGCATTCTTGAAAACATCTGAATAAAACAAAAATGTGGATTACCTGCAAGACAATCATTCTAAACACACAGCAAAAAAATCAAAATACAAAAAAAACTCTTAATTGATCCTAAAACAGATTTAAAAAAATGAGAAGTGAGCCAAAGAACTGAGCAATGTATGTTACTAGTTTCTCCATTCAAAAACATCTTGAAGTTAATCTTATCAAGAAATGCATCATGACAAATTATTGATAATAATAGAAACATATGAAGTGAGGAAAAAAAAACATTCATTTGTCATTCCCACTATAGTTTTGAACCACAATTTAGTCATTGAAACTACCTTTCAATGACTGAAGGCAGCAATGACTATAAAGACTTAATCTGACAGCTCTGCAATGTCTTCCAGATGTTTGAAGTCCAAACAGCCAACTCTTCAACAGACTCAGGTGAGTAAATGTTTAGCACTGCAGCGCATCTTCACGAGTGGAGTCTGTGCCAGAATCGGTTTAAGCATGAACTGTTTCCCACAGACTCCAGCTGGTGAGGAGGCTGTGGCACAAATACCGACTACTGCAGGTGAAGAACTGCTCTATGGAGAAGTGACTTTCTTCAAGGGGAAACCTGAAGCTTCCTTTTCCTCAGTGGAGTGCAGCAAACAAGAAGAGACAGTTTATGCACACGTCAAAGTGTCCAAGTCATGAACGCGCTCAACACTCACCACTGACAGTCCAGATGATATCTATGCTCAAGTGAAGAAAAAGTAACTTTTCATTTCAAATAAAGTTAGCTAAAGACCTCTCTTAAAGCCACTTTGCATCTTTAAGCAACTATGCATATTTATTATGTGCTATATCATAACATTTTTCTGCTGTTTTTCTGTTGTGGTTATTTTATTTTGGGCCGTGACTTTTACAACTTGCATGGTCTTGTGGCAGGAAGTAATCATATTTTCTACTTCAACAAAGTATTTAAAGCTTAGCCTTTTTAATTATTATTAAAAGAAGATGTTAAACACACAAAGTGGGAAATGTTATTTTGACTTCATCATTTCACTGTACCATACTTCAGATAGTTAGTTAGATGGTGACATGATGCACCACTTCTTCTTTCAATACCAATGCCAGACAAACTGCTGCAATAGCAGTATGTTAATCTATGTTCCCTTTTTTTTTAAATTTGTTGAACACATTGCACCTCCACACAGCAACTTGGTCTCCTTAGTCTGGGCGTTTACTTTTTCAGCACTTTTTTAAAAAGGTACTTGTTTCATTTTTGGGCCAGAGCACAGAGCAGTTTTTTGTCTTGAGCTCCTTGCATGGGGCACGTTCAACGACGGCCTGAGAGGCCTTCTAGTCAGAGCTGAGTAAGCTGGGGATGTTTTGCCTACACTGCCTGGTGAAAAAATGCCCTCTTGCCTCCGTCGCTGCGATTTAGATGAAACCACTTTTCACTGCACCTGAATCCGCTAAACACATCACGTACAAATTCAGTGGGGTTTTATGTACCAAATAGACATAATGTTGTTCAAGGAAGGGGAATAGGAATAAAAAGGGAATGCAGAATTTTATATAAATCTGAAAAGTGTGGCGTGCATGTGAATTCAGTCTTCTTTACTCCGATAGCTCCACATGTAATCTAGTGCAAAAGAAACAAGTTAAAAGTTAGAAGTCATCTAACTGGCAAACATGATATTTGTGTGTAATTGAATCTTTTTTATGAATCGAGTTATTCTGCTAACGCTGCAGTAAGTAAGTTTTTTTAAGTATCTTTTTTTTTAACGTATTTGTTAAGACTATCACTTTGTCCTGACAGCATGACATGAGATAGATAATCTATGGAAAAAAACAACAACAAAAAAACCCAAGCTCCAACAGTAAGACCTCGGTCACACTTGTGTATGAGTTGGTCATGTTGTCAGGTTTGCTGCAGCTCTATTAATGGCAGAGAGAAAAAAAAAACAACTTACAGGAAGTCTGTTTATAGAAGGATGTAGAAGCTATCTACTGCAGCTTAAAGGACTCTTCGGTCCTATGTTGTCATAGGACCGAAGTTGTTTGTCATGCTACAACGCTTACGCAGCGTTGTAGCATTCAGTGAGAGAACCCAACATGTCACCCAAAAGGGAACCTGACCAAGCATCCATATATGAAGAGCAGGGACTGATTAACAAGACCAAGTGTTTTATAAATGCTGCAGCTTTTGACTATGGAAACAGTAAACAGAAGAGAATAATTCATGCTTGTATGATTTGAGAGCAAGTGAGCTCATAGTTTGGTACAGCAGATGCAGAAGTTCACTCTGCCACTGTTTTCTTGCACAATCATTTCCAACCAGCCTGGTTTTTGGCCAGATCAGCTGTTTATACACCTAAACTCTGCCATAGGTTACCAATCTGTACACTACTACTACTACTACAGCCACTAATGGTAGTAATGATAATACTCAAGCAATACTTTGCAAAACTGTCACTTAAAAAGAAAGGCACTGAAAAGCTATTTTTGTTCACAGAAGACTTAAGCATTCTGATGCCAAGACGCTGTCTCGACCAGACATTTTGACTCCAAAATGTTTAAAAAAATCCACTTCATCTTTCACATGGTCAAACTTTGTACAAACCTCTCAAGCAAAACTGTCTGAACAGATGAAAATGAACAAAATCGACACCTGTTTTCACCTGGAGTACAATGTAAATGATCAATAATTGTGAATGTTTTGATGAAAACATTCTTTCCCAAAGCGTCTTCTGCTTCTTGAATATCTCAATATTTAACCTACTGCTCAGCAGTCAAGTAAGTCTGTGCTACTAAACACCCCTAATAAGGTGACGCTGTGGCAGCAGCAAGATGTTAAAAAAGATAACTTCCTCTTTCTTGAGGTCAGGATGTGACGGGGAGACAAACTAAAACAAGTCGATGTGTTTTTCCAACACACATTCAGAAGTTGGCTATTGGATCTGATGTTGATCAGCTCAAACGAGAATATAAAAGCTGGCGAAACTGAACTGTTTCCATTTTACCCACATATCTCTGAGAAGTCGGTGCTGTGATTTCCATACTGAGATTTTAAACTGGGATTGTTTAGTTTTAAAATGAAGACAAGTCTTTTGGGAATATTGAAAAAATAATGAAGTAAATCTCCACAAGTAGGAAGGTAGGCCGAAGGTTTTGCTGTTTGAATGTTAAGACAGATGTGAAACAATGAACAGTTCAGTTAAAATGTCTTAGCATTTGTTTTTTGTTTTTTTTTTTATTGAAGGAGGACTATGAGACTAATAGCAGCTCTTTCTGGGAACACGCTGCCAGTCAGCATGTTACTGAGTGCCTTCTTTCTTCCAGGTGCGACGTTTGTTCCCTTACATTCATTTAGAGAAAACACATGAATTGTATGTTAACCTGCCGCAGCTCAACGGGAGTTTAGGGATAATGAAGTTTCTCTGCTGACAGACGACCTTCGTTGACATTATGTCCATCGTTTGTTTGTTTTGTTTTTTTACAGGTGCTTTGGCTATGTACTGTGATAAGAAACCAGCGGCCTTCAATATCACTGCACCAAGCAACATTGAAGCTCTGAGTGGATCTTGTTTGGAGATCCCCTGTAGTTTTACAACAAATCATCCAAAATTTAACAGAACCAATAGTGTCCATGGAGTTTGGATGAAAAATAATTTAGACTTTGACTCTAATCCAAATTATGTAATTTTCAACAGCAGTAAGTCAGTAAACACCTTTTCATTGGAGTTAAGCGGAAACCTTGCAGAGAACGACTGCACCACTCTGTTTCCTGATGTTAACTCAAGTCACACAGACAAATATTTCTTCAGGATTGAGAACGGACAATTCAGAGCAACAGGCTGTGCTCATCCTCTCAATATAACAGTCACAGGTAAGATAACTTTCTTTTAAATATTTTCTTCTATTTCTAAAGCCTAAATGTGGTGATTTATGACTTATCATTATCAGTTAGATATGGCAATTCATCATGACATCAGAAATTTAAAGAAGTTAAGCATGACAGCAAGAGGATTAATTATTTTTAAACATTCATTTATTGCTTCAGCAGAATTACATAATGGCTTCATTTACTGATCTGCTCAGGAAAGCTGCTGAAGCAAAAAGTCAAAAAACTGACAGAAAAAATATAAATCAGTGTCTAGTGCAAATGTGTCAAACTCAAGGCCCGGTTGCCGTTGGCCCATTGTAATTTTTTAAGTGATCCTCTAAACTCCAAATTACTTTTTTAACTCCTTCCGGTTTTTCACAAATCTGCAAAATTCACACAAAATAAACAAATCTTCATTTTTTTTTTCAGATTTTACTGCACAATTTCTCTAAATTTGACAGAGTGAATTTAAGTCATTGTATTAAACAGCAGTCAATATATTTTACAGTTGTTCTTCTTTTGTTTTGTTTGTTTTTGTTTGCATATAACCTTGTTTATTCTTTTATTACACTATGTTCAATAAATCAAACTACTATGTAGGCTTTTCTTTGTACGATTATGTATTTGTAACTAATTTATGTGGAAATAAGAGGTCTTGGGAGCCTCGTTGTGGGCTGATGAATGTATGCAGCAGATCATATTTACATCCATTTACTGTTGAACTCTTCTCATCAGTTCATTTTTCTTTTTTTTTTTTTTTTTGTCATTGCATATATTGTTATTCCCAGATTCTCCCTGGAGTCCTACCATTTATGTTCCCTCTGACCTGAAGGAGCATCAGTCTGTCACTGTAACCTGCTCAGCTTTCACTCCCTGTCCAAACTCACCTCCTGAACTCACCTTGAATCTCCAACAAGACTCTCTCAGACACACAGAGAAAACAGAGATGGAACCTTTACAACTAAAATCCAGGAGATCATCACTCTGTCAGACACACATGATGGATACAACATCAGATGTTCTGCCAGATATCCTGTGATTGGAGGAAACAAGACAGCAGAGACAGAAGTGACTCTCAGTGTTTCATGTAAGTGATCCTGTCAGCAGGTCATGGTTCAGCTGGTTCTGATCAATAAAGTTCATGTGTCTCATTTTCCTCAGATGCTCCTAAAGACACCTCAGCATCCATCAGTCCATCAGGTTTGGTGTCAGCAGGTAGCTGGGTGGAGCTGAGCTGCTCCAGCAGAGCCAAACCTCCACCCACATTCACCTGGTTCAGGAAAAGTGAACATGGAGACATTAATGTGTCTGTGGGGCCAATTTATGAACTCCAGTTGAACAACATGACAAATATAGAAAGTCATTTTTGTGTGGCTGCAAATATTCTCGGTAATCAGACAACGTCATGGAGTCACTTGAAAAATACAGGTAACATCTGAGTTTCATTTCTATTTATTTCTACTTCTCTATATCACTGTAACCTTTATAAAGATGGAATGTTTTACATTTCACAGTACAACCTTCTCTGTCCTATACTGCAATACTTTATTTGTTATCTCTTTATTATTGTGTTTCTTTCCAAGAAATGGGGATGCAGACAGTTCTTGGCTTAGTTATTTTGCTGTTTATTTACGTTGGGATCATCGTCTTGGTTTTCTTAATTTGGTGAGTAGAAACATGCAGCTTCCTCAAGTGTAGTTGTAAGTTCCCATCCTGTGGTGCCCTGGGCAGAGTTCTCCACCACATTTACTTGTACAGTAGTTCAAACGCAAGGACATGTGTCAGTAAAAAAAAAAAAGTCAGGCTGTAAAAATAGATCAGAATTATTCTGATATCACTCCAATATTTTTCCAGTTTCATCAAGTCCAAACAGCAATCTCCCCAACAGCCTGAGGTCAGAAAATGGAATTAAACCCATACGTTAAATTTGACACCATTAGCACAAAGTGAAATATTAATGTACTTTTTCTTTTCTCCACAGGCTGAACCAGATGAGGATGTTACAGTTCAAATGCCTCCTGATAAAACTGAAGAACTCCAGTATGAGGACATGAACGTTTTTCAGGGACGACCAGAAGCTTCCAATGAATCTATAAAGCAGAGAGGACAGGAGGAGATAGTTTACTCCCAGATCAAAAAGTTCAGGGCAAGAAACTGCTCAGTGCAGACCTCTGACAGTTCGGAGGAAACTTACATTGAAATGAAACATCAATAACTGCTGTTGTGCGGTCACAGAAACATATTTTTTGTCTTTACGTCAGATCTTTATGATTCTCTTTCCCTGTTGCACTTAATTTCTCCATAGTTTTATCATTTGGCTTTTTGGAGGCTTTCTTCTGGGTGATGAAGTTTGTCAGACTTGACAGCATGTCTGCCACAACTCATGCGTTTTTTTTTTTTTGTGATCTTAAAATACATCCACAGTTGTGCCTCCTGTTAACGCAGATGATTCAGTTAACCTATGAGGAGTGTGTGGAAGGAAACCCAAATGGTTTGATCTGAGTCATATGCTTTAAAAGACAGTTGTCCCTGACACCGACGTGTCAAGTTTTTAATTTGGGGAAAGTTGCAATAAAAATGCTCTCGCTAAGTTTTCTGAAATTTCTGAAATAAATTGGTGATTCTAACTGAGCTAAAACAAAAAAAAAGTTACCTTGAATTTAATTTCAGTACCTGAAAAAGAACCTGTTTGTGCATTTTTTTTTATTTTTATGTATAACCCTAACAGAAAGTATGGGGCGTGCCCTTTAGGCAGAGCGCAGAAAGAGCATGTTAATCCCTCTGACATGCATTCGGAAAATATTTCTCAATTTTTGAAAGCGGAAATTTGGCATGATCCTCCATTGTTGTGTCTCGGATTTATTTCCATGTTGTACATCCAAGAAATCAGCATTTCCATGCTAACAGAATGAGGCATGACATAAAGCAAGCAGCTACCTGGAACGAGAAAGAGCTTTGCTCATGCCAGGCTGCTGCCAAATCCTGTGTGCAGCGTGGGAAGAGATAATTCCGTTCAATAGTTTTTTTAACAAAAGGTACTTCCTCATGTGAAACTGACCCTGGTATAAATTCTGTCTAAGACCTTAGATAGAGGATATATTTTGTAAGTAGGTTTCGAAATTTAAGAGAAAAAGAGGGGAGACATCGCTGTTGTTTCTATTAAAGAACATCATTGAAGTCAATTAATTCAGATTGTTTTTTTTTTGTGTGTTTTTTTTCACTTATTTTGCAGGTTCCATCATATCTTACAATAAATCGTATTGGATAGACAGACCTGTTTCACAACTATGTCATTATAATTTTTTCAGGTGTTTAAATCTCAGATAGAATTTTGTTGTTTACTCACCCAATAAATTACTGATTAAAACCAAAATCTAGCCAAGTTCAGTTTATTATTATTATTATTATTAAAATAGAAACGCATTTTCCTCACACTCCAAAATTCTTAGTTTGTTCGAGTTACTCAGAGGCCTGGCGCTCTGCAGAAGAACAAGTGGACCATAAACCCCCCTCTAACAAACCTAATAGAAACAAAGATGGCTTGTACCTGTTGCGTTTCTGCCTCCATCTGCTGGATTTTCTCTTTCAAGTCAAGTTTATCAGTTGATTGCTCTTTGCACATTGCACAGTGGTTGGTACTGGTTTGTTCTGCAAAATTATTTGTGTGAAAGATTATTTTTAAATTTGAGAAGTGCCTTTTTATGTACTAATGGTAACAATCATTTTTAAGGTTTATAATTTCTTAGTTTCAAGGCTTAAACTTGACCATTATCGTACTAAAAACAGTAGATATTTGATATTGCAAATCTGTAAATCCATGTAACATTTCTATTCCTGGAAAAAAAAAAGTTCTACAAAAGAAAAACTGTCAGAGTTTCTATTTTCTCACGATTACAATTTTTTTATTTATGTTGAAATTAATTTTGAGCACAGAGCTGTATGATACTGACTTTTTTTCCACATTATTCTCTGTCACTTTCTTGATATTTGGTTTGTGAAAAATGTTAATAAAATACTCAGGAACTTTGATTCTTGTCCCCTTTTGTTTCTTCTCAAGAAGAGTTTAAACAAATTAAAATTATGACTTACCATGTTGGCTGTAAATGGTCTTTACCTGCACCATTAAATCTCCTCTGAATTCTCATCTTTCATCACTTTTCTCAACCATATTTATTGGTGACGTTTCATTACAAACAATTAAGTTTAGTTCTTTCTTCATGAACTGTCAGAGTGAATATGAGTTCACTTAGATGGCAGGTAATCCGTCAAACCTGAACCTGGAAAGTTTTAAGACTTACAGGAGTTTAAAGTGGTACAAGCCTGTATTGCAAAAGATTGATGGTTTCAGATGTTATTTGCATGCGGCTGTAAGTTTTTCACTTGTCTGTCTGAGATGTTCAGATGTTACGTCATTCTTCAGATAAAAAGTTGTGAAAATTTTTGAAAAAGAAGGAAAAAAGGAAGTTGGTTGTGTCGTTTTGTTACATCCTCTTTGTGACGACCGCTCTTTAGTTTTCTTGGTTAAAGTCTTTTCATTACGTTTAGGTTCTTTAAAAATATATATATTTTTAAAAATCCATCTCTATTTATATTATTGAATAATAAATCTGCTGTTAGTGCATCATCATGACACTTTTGTTAAACGTCATCCCTTGCAGGATTGTGTCACGTTGATGAATTCTGAAAATACCAACTTCCTTTTTTTGCACAGAGCAATAGGAAAACACTGAGGACGAAGCGTAAAGATGTAAGTCTAAGCTCAACATGACCAGACAATGATATGCATGGTTAAACATTATTTACAGTTTGCACAAATTCTTATTTAAGTCATTGTATGCATGGGAAATGACAACAATTTGGTAGCAAGCAAGGATTTTAATAGAGGGGCATTTCTTACATAGTAAAATTTGCTATACCTTTTTGTAACCTTTAGACAATTACAAAGTCGCCCTTCTATCACCTGAAGAACATCTCCAGGATTAGAGGACTAATGTCTCAGCCAGATCTAGAGAAACTCATCCATGCGTTTATCTTTAGTCACATTGATTATTGTAACAGCATCTTCACAGGTCTGTCCAATAAATCAATCAAACAGCTTCAGTTGATCCAGAACGCTGCTGCTCGCGTTCTCACTAAAACCAGGAAAATAGAGACATAACACCAGTTTTAAAGTCCCTCCACTGGCTCCCTGTAGTTCAAAGAATAGACTTTAAAATACCGTTGTTAGTTTACAAATCACTGAACGGTTTAGCACCACAATACATCAAAGATCTGCTGTTGTTGTATCAACCTTCCAGACTCTCAGGTCTTCTGGTTCTGGTCTGCTCTGCATCCCCAGAACCAGAACCAAGAGAGGAGAAACAGCTTTCAGCATCTATGGACCAAAAATTTGGAACAAACTTCCAGAAAACTGTAAAACAGTAGAAACCCTGACTTCCTTTAAATCTCAACTAAAAACGCACCTGTTTAGAATTGTATTTGAAATGTAATATGTAACAATGTATTGTTTCTTCCATGATGCATGACTTTGTGTTCTTGGGTTTATGATATAAAGCACTTTGAAATGCCTTGCTGCTGAAATGTGATATACAAATAAAATTTGATTTGATTTGATTTGATTTAATTCTGTATTATATATTCGATCAGTTCCTATATTTTTTGAAAAAAACAGTACATAAGTTATCAGCGTATCATCTGACAGGATGTGAGATATTCTCTGTAAGGTTTTAGGCACCCATTGAGCAGATGCTAGACAGAAAAAGAAGGACAATAATAACATTTTGTGTGATTATCTTGAGAAAATAAAGCAACCATTCCGAGGAAGAGTAGAAGTTGCGCTGACATCCTGTTTCACAGGAAGGACGACAGCAACAGAGACAGTCTCTTTAAAACAGAGAAGCTTGTCTGATCTCCTGCTGTGTGATTAAATTTTACCTGAGTCACCTCAAGATTTTATATTGGAAGTCAAACAATTTGGTAAGAAAATTAAACTTCATTGAACTTTTCGAGTTTAAGATCTGTTTAGCATAGTCTGCTAAAAAGATCTATATACTCTTATTTTCAAGCAAAGTTTGATTCAAGGTTTTGTCTTGATGATGCATTCTAAATACTTTTTTGGTATTCAGTTTTGTTTATTGATTCATCAGGGTCTGATGGCGGCTCAGTCTGAGAACATGTTGACAGTCATCATGTTACTGAGTGTCTTCTATCTATCAGGTGAGATGGCTGTTCACTGCCTTTCGTTTGGAGACATCATATAAATTATTTTAGTCTAAAACTTTTGATGGGAATATTGCTTAAATGCTCATTATGTTACCTGGTGAAGCTGAACTGCAGTTTGTTGATCATGAAGTTTCTCTGCTGACAGATTTTGCTCCCTTATGTTCATCTATGGTCTGTTTTTACAGGTGTCTTTGCTGATCCCTGTAATGGTAATCAACCTGCCTTTCTCATTAAAACACCAAAGCTCATTGAAGGGCTGAGTGGATCGTATTTGCAAGTCCCATGTAGCTTCACAATTAAAGGTGAAGAAGACAAGTTTAACAGAGGAGAACAAACGTCTGCAGCTTGGATTCCAAGTAATAAGAATATTTTTGACATCAGTCACAGAGTTAATAACCATCAAATAAATATCACTGGAAACATAAAAGAGAAAAACTGCACCACTGTGTTTTCTGATATAAAGACAAGACAAGAAACTGAATACTTCCTCAGAGTAGAGAGTAGTGAATACAGGGCAACAGCTTGTTCTACTCCTCTTCAGATAAGAGTTAAAGGTAAGACTTTTTTTCTGAAGATCTTACAAAGTTATGCAAATACATTTGTTCAAATTATTTGTTAAGGATTTATGGTCTTTGTGATTTTTGTTGCACAGAAAGAAAAGCAGATTAGTTGATCAGCTTTCTGCTTTAGTCGTGTCTCGTCTGTCCCAACTGGTTGAATTTATCTAAACCACTGAGTCACAGCTTCTTCCATCAATTCTGGTCTCTTAAACTGAAGCTTAGAAATGTATTCATACCCCTTTACAAATACCTGGTCTGCAAGATAAATTATAATTTCTCTAAAACTAATCATTGATGTATTGATAACTTAATTTGCTTACTAGATCAAACTTTGTATCTTAAAATTTATACATATGTATAGGAAAAATTACCAGACAGTTGTTTTAGTTACTCCAGAGCCACAAGAAATACAGGAAAAACAAACTATTAGTATGGAGGCTATAAATGTATAAGAGTCAAAGTAAATTGGGAACTCATTCAAGTTTAATGCAAATTTACAGTTTTTATTCTGTATATGAAACTCCAGATTCTCCTTGGAGGCCCAGCATTAATGTGACCTCTGACCTGAAGGAGCATCAGTCTGTCACTGTAACCTGCTCAGCTTTCACTCCCTGTCCAAACTCACCTCCTCAACTCACCTTGAATCTCCAACAAGACTCTCTCAGACACACAGAGAAAAACACAGATGGAACCTTTACAACTAAAATCCAGGAGAACATCACTCTGTCAGACACACATGATGGATACAACATCAGATGTTCTGCCAGATATCCTGTGATTGGAGGAAACAAGACAGCAGAGACAGAAGTGACTCTCAGTGTTTCATGTAAGTGATCCTGTCAGCAGGTCATGGTTCAGCTGGTTCTGATCAATAAAGTTCATGTGTCTCATTTTCCTCAGATGCTCCTAAAGACACCTCAGCATCCATCAGTCCATCAGGTTTGGTGTCAGCAGGTAGCTGGGTGGAGCTGAGCTGCTCCAGCAGAGCCAAACCTCCACCCACATTCACCTGGTTCAGGATCAGTGAACATGGAGACATTAATGTGTCTGTGGGGCCGATTTATGGCTTTAATGTTACTGAGGGAGGAGAGTTTTACTGTGAGGCCACAAATTATGTGGGTAATGAGACATCATCAAGGATCTGTGTTAGTACAGAAGGTAATGGTTTGTTTCTTTATCTTTTGGTCCTTTCTTATTCTTTTAAAACACATACAGTATGTATTGTTGTGACCATGTAAGAAACTCTATTGAAACAAACATACAACAATCCATTCAGAGTTTGTTGTAGTTTCTATTAATGTACATAGAGCTGATCTGAAGCTCACATATGTGACATGCCATGAGAAAAATTGGAGCATATTGCTGTAAAAATGGAGAAAAAATAAATAAAAAAATTCTGTGAATATAGAGATTTTCAATTTTTGGTTGATGTAGTTGAAGTCATTAAGAAATCTGTGGGGCTGATTTACAGTTTCAATGCCACTGAGGGAGGAGAGTTTTATTGTGTGGCCACAAATGATCTGGGTCATCAGAAATAATTAGAGGTCCAAATTAGCATTGAAGGTAATTACTGATATGCAGAACTGTATGACTAAAGTCATGTGATGTTGTCCATGTCAGTATTGATGTTTTGTGTGTGTAGGCATGTGTGTATTTGCGTCTGTGTGTGTGTGTGTATTGTTTTAATACCAAGCTGGAAACATTTCTTACATTTCTTCTGAATTGCTTTAAGAAATATTTTTACTCCTTTTAAAATGCACATTTTAAGCTTTGTTTCTCTTTTCTGTGAACAGGGAATTTTCCATTTTTGATCGTACTTCTCACGGTGATTGTTACCATTGTGCTCATCTGGCTGCTGATCTTGGTTTGGTGAGAGTCACAAACATATTTATTGATGCTCAGACGTTGTTGGATAATCTGTGTGCTCTGACGTTTTAGCAAATGCCTGTTTAATATGTTTTTACTCCCCAAAGGCGAAATCAAATCTTTCACTCAATTGCAAAGCTTTTTGTAAAACATAGTAAAATGTTTTACTTATAATTGAACAAACTTAATGTCTCTTCTTTTCTTTTTTCTATCAAAAACTGGAAATGACAGTGCTAAGCAGCTAGTTGCTTCAACAAAGTTCTTTCATGCTTTCTTTCATGTCCTTCAGTCATTTTCCTGCTTCAGTTGCGCTCTCCATCATCTTAGCTTCAATCTGATCTGATCTTGATCCTCCAAAGTCATCCTTGACTTCCCTCTCAGTTTGTGTTGCAACCTTACAAAAAGCCCAGGAGGCTTATTCTAACAGATCTGAACTGTCTTCTAGGTGGTTCAAATTCAAACGTCCATCTTCACAACATGCTCAGGTAGGGACGCGTGCAACGTCTTTGTTTAGCAACGCAGCGAGTTTTCATCTCCAGATTTGTGTGCGGCATTTGAAAGAAATCTGCATTTTGTTCTTCACAGAGTGAATACGATGAGAATATTTACGTTGAAATGTCAACCAATAAACAAGATCAGGAACTCCATTATGATGAAGTCCACTTCCAGAGGAGGAGAGCTGAAGCCTCTGCTGTCTCCCTGCAGGACAGTGGACAGCAGGAGATCATTTACGCTCAGGTCAAAGTGTCTGACGCTGCAGTCGGCTCGGCACGAGCCGCTAACAGTCCGGAGTCTCTCTACGCCAAATAAAGAAAAAATAACTTTACATGCATAAAGATTTATGTGATATAAGCTTATGTTCAAGTATTAGTTACATGTCATCGACTGGAGCAGCCAAAAATAAATATTAAATAAGAGAAAAGCAGGCAAATATATTTTTATTATTCTACTGAAATGAAATTCACACTCAGTAACAACCCTAATGTAGATATACAGAGGATAGCAAATGAGTTTAATTTTAGAAAGCTTGCCAAAATTGACTGTTTTTGTTGATGAAAACTTCAAACATGTTTTTCAGCTGGAAAAATTGTCACACATTTGTCCAGGAGTTATATTTGACCCGTTCTTCCACACAAACTCTCTTTCAATCTTGATATCTTTTAAACAAACTTGGATCATCAATTTTGTTCCGCAGCTATTTATTGCCAAAGATCGCAGGTGATTGGCCAATCCATTCTAGCAGTTTTCTTTCCTCTAAAATGAATTAATAGGAAATACTTTGCTTAGAAATCCACATTGATTCATCTGGTCAGAAATGGTGCATTTCTTCATTCATTTCTCCTTGAGTTATTTTACATATTATTTCTGCCATTATGTACTGTGTTTATTCTTTATTGATCCTTCTGACATTTGTTTTAACACCAGCAACCTACTGATGTCTTGACATAAATAACAAATTCATGGACACATTTATTTGCACTTCTTTCTCAAGATCTAGTTTGAATTTCATGTCACAGAAGATATTAGAAATATGTATACAAATAAAAACATTGTCATAGTTGATCCTTCCTACCAACTGTGTTTTTTCCTGGAAAATGAGGTTTTAATTTTACAAAGCTTGCCAAAATTGAATGTGTGATGTAATAATTAACATGTTGGGTTTGTGTTTTGACTGTGCAAAATTAGCATGTTTGGGTAACATGAGGCATCGTGGTGAGACTTGTCACTGACACACACTTGACGAGAGCCGTATCAAAGGAAAGAATCCAATTATTTTCGTTGAAAACATACAGTTGTATTGCAACCAGAAATATTCAAGATTTATGTAAAAAAAAAAACAATGTAAAACCTGCAAATTGGCACATATTTATTTCACGTTAATCATTTTGTCGCATCACTTCTTCTTTTGACTGCTGTACGCAACAGCTGACTTGAGCTGTTGCTGTCGCAATGACAGGAAAAGTGTCATTTGTTATTGACAACTATTTTTACCACATGCACTATTTGTCATATTTGGCCCGAAAATGAACTGGTGCAATAATTTTGCTTCCTGTCTTGGTTTCAAGAATGTTCAACTGCAATAAGACACTGTTGCAGTCGACGCCTTCATGCCTACCTGACGATTTGAAACGGCCTTTTGTAATTTTTTTTTTTTTTTTTTGTGCTGTTTCTATTACTGGCATAATATGTGAGAAAAATTAACCCATAAATAACTTCATTAAAGTCAGTTAATTCAGGAAATTCAGTAATAAATGAAACATATCCAGCTTTTTAAGAATTCAATAATATAAAACATTATATTTAGATTCATATTGACTGCCATCATCTCAACAGTTATTTCAGATAATGTTATTTTGAGAAGATATTTCAATATTCTTATTTTTTTAACTTGCAGGTGTCACCATTTTAGCACTGTGAATCTTACAGAAAATCTTATTGTCCAGACAGACGTATTTCACCACTGATCCATTTGAACTGTTTTAAGTGTTCAAATTTCAGAAAGCATTTCTTTGTTTCCTCACCCAAAAATCTACTGATTAAAATTTAAATCTAAGCCAAATTCTTTTTTTTCTTCATTAAAATAGAAAAAAACAAAACTGCCGCACTCCAAAATTCTAGTTTGTTCACACCCAAAAACCTTAATATAAACAAAGAGAATTTTTTACCTGTTGTGTGTTTGCCTCCATCTGCTGGATTCTATCCATAATGTCATAAGTTTATTGGTTTATTGCTCATTGCTCAGAAAGTGCTGAGCAATGAGCACTTCCTGAGCATAGTGCTCAGAAAGTCAGCACTATGCAAATTGTGCAAACAATTTGTACAAAAGGATATTTTTAGATTTTAGCTGTGTTTTTTTATGCATTAATGATTGGTGTCATTAATTCTACTTTTCCTTCTCACTTTCTTGATGCTTGGATTATGAAAAGTGTTAATGAAATACTCAGGAGCTTTGATTGTTGTTCCCTTTCTTTCCCTGAAAAACAGTTTAAACAGATTAAAATCATAACTAAACATATTGTCATACAGAAATACTTTGTGGATGTAGCACAGTGTGTAAATCTGCTCTGAATTTGCATCTTCTATCAGTTTTTCTCCACAATATTTGTTGGGGACGTTTCATTACAAGCCAGTTTAGTTCTTTCTTCATGAACTGTCAGAGTGAATATGAGTTCACTTAGATGGCAGGTAATCCAACAAACCTGAAACCTGGAAAGTTTTAAGACTTACAGGAGTTTAAAGTGGTACAAGACTGTATTGCAAAAGGATGAGGGTTTAGATGTTATTTGCATGCGGCTGTAAGTTTTCCACTTGTCTGTCTGACAGAAGTGGTCAGATGTGACGTCATGCTGCAGACGAAAAGTTGTGAAAATTTTGAAAAAGAAGGAAAAAAGAAAGTTGGTTGTGTCGTTTTTTTAGATCCTCTTTGTGACGACCGCTCTTTAGTTTTCTTGGTTAAAGTCTCTTCATTATGTGCACCAAAATTTTAGGTTCTTTGAAAAGATATTTAATTTTTTTTTATCTCTATTTATATTGTTGAATAATAAATCTGCTGTTAGTGCATCATCATGACACTTTTGTTCAACGTCGTCCTTTCCAGGATTGTGTCACGTTGATGAATTCGGAAAATAGCAACTTCCTTTTTTTGCACAGAGCAATAGGAAAACACTGAGAACGAAGCGTAAAGATGTAAGTCTGAGCTCAACATGACCAGACAATGATGTGCATGGTTAAACTCTATCTACACTTTGCACAAATTCTTATTTAAGTCATTGTATGCATGGGAAACATCAACAATTTGGTAACAAACAAAGATTCTAATAGAGGGGCATTTCTTACATACTAAAATCTGCTATACCTTTAATTCTGTATTATATATTTTCTCAGTTCCTATTCTTTTTGACAAAAACAGTGCATAAGTTATCAGCGTATCATCTGACAGAATGTGAGATATTCTCTGTAAGGTTTTAGGCACCCATTGAGCAGATGCTCGATAGAAAAAGATGGACAATAATAACATTTTGTGTGATTATCTTGAGAAAAGAAAGCAACCATTCAGAGTAAGAGTAGAAGTTGCGCTGACATCCTGTTTCACAGGAAGGACGACAGCAACAGAGACAGTCTCTTTAAAACAGAGAAGCTTGTCTGATCTCCTGCTGTGTGATTAAATTTTACCTGAGTCACCTCAAGATTTTATATTGGAAGTCAAACAATTTGGTAAGAAAATTAAACTTCATTGAGACCTATATATTCTTATTTTCAAGCAAAGTTTGATTCAAGGTTTTGTCTTGATGATGCATTCTAAATACTTTTTTGGTATTCAGTTTTATTTATTGATTCATCAGGGTCTGATGGCGGCTCAGTCTGAGAACATGTTGACAGTCAACATGTTACTGAGTGTCTTCTTTCTTCCAGGTGAGATGGCTGTTCACTGCCTTTCGTTTGGAGACATCATATTAATTATTTCAGTCTAAAACTTTTGATGGGAATATTGCTTAAATGCTCATTGTGTAACTTGGTGAAACTGAACTGCAGTTTGTTGATCATGAAGTTTCTCTGCTGACAGATTTTGCTCCACTTTATGTTGATCTATGGTCTGTTTTTACAGGTGTCTTTGCTGATCGCTGTGGTGGTCATCAACCTAACTTTCTCATTACAACACCAAAGTCCATTGAAGGGCTGAGTGGATCGTGTTTGCAAGTCCCATGTAGCGTCACAATTAAAGGTGAAGAAGACAAGTTTAACAGAGGAGAACAAACGTCTGCAGCTTGGATTCCAAGTAATAAGAATATTTTTGACATCAGGCAGGGAGTTAATAAAGGAAACATAAAAGAGAAAAAAAAAAGAGAAAAACTGCACCACTGTGTTTTCTGATATAAAGACAAGACAAGAAACTGAATACTTCCTCAGAATAGAGAATAGTGAATACAAGGGAACAGCTTGTTCTACTCCTCTTCAGATAAGAGTTAAAGGTAAGACTTTTACTCTGAACATCTTACAAAGTTATAGAAATAAATTGGTTCCAGTTACATGATAATTAACTTTCACCTGTTTGTTTATTTTATATTTACATACATTCTATAATGCAGTACAGTTTTTGGTACAAGCTTGTTTGGTTCTGGAGGTGAAGACACGTTTAGTTTTTCTTCATAAAAACAAAATCTTCTTAAGTATGATATCAAAACATCACAGGTCAAGCAAGGGTCACTGCAGGCTGGCAAAGAACAATGATCTAATATTCAGAACTTATTTATACAGTTTAGAATGACGTCAAACAAGATAAACATAGGCATTTAGACTGTTGTTATTTCCTTGACCTGAATAATTTTCTGACACATATCATGTTATGATAAATGTTTGGACTCCTATATAGATACTCAATTGATTATCTTTATTATCAGTACATTCTCTTTAAAGACTGTTCAGAAACAATATAGAGGATTTATGGTCTTTGTGATTTTTGTTGCACAGAAAGAGAAGCAGATTAGTTGATCAGTTTTCTGCTTTAGTCGTGTCTCGTCTGTCCCAACTGGTTGAATTTATCTAAACCATTGAGTCACAGCTTCTTCCATCAATTCTGGTCTCTTAAACTGAAGCTTGAAAATGTATTCATACCTTTCTACAGGTTAAATTATAATTTCTCTAACAATTATTATTGGCATATTAAATACTTGTGTACAATGCTTTGTCTCAAGACATATATAGAAATTGATCACCAGTCAGTTGTTTTGTTTCTCCTGAATTTTAGAAAACTTCGAAATAAAAAAAAAACTAAACAAACAAAAACAATTACACGGAGGCTGTAAACGGAAATTAACATCAGAGAAATTTGGGAAATCCTTTCAGACTATTAGAAATATTTGACTGTTTATGAAATCCAGAGTTTTACAGTAATAGGGTGATTCCTGGGCAATAATCTCAAACAAAATAAATTAATAAATGTCTTATTTAGTCAACTGTTTCAACATTTTAACACATAATGATGAGACACAGAAAAGCACAAAATGACATGACATTTATTAAAAAATCGTTGGTCACATGCTCATTACTTTATTCAAAAATTGTTGTTTTGCAGTTTTAATCAGGAAAGTATTCAAAATAAGACTTTATGCTAATTTAATGTGAAATTACAGATTCTCCAGACAAACCCAGAATTGAAACTGATCTGAAAGATCTGAAGGAGCATCAGTCTGTCACTGTAACCTGCTCAGCTTTCACTCCCTGTCCAAACTCACCTCCTGAACTCACCTGGAATCTCCAACAAGACTCTCTCAGACACACAGAGAAAAACAGAGATGGAACCTTTACAACTAAAATCCAGAAGATCATCACTCTGTTAGACACACATGATGGATACAACATCAGATGTTCTGCCAGATATCCTGTGATTGGAGGAAACAAGACAGCAGAGACAGAAGTGACTCTCAGTGTTTCATGTAAGTGATCCTGTCAGCAGGTCATGGTTCAGCTGGGTCTGATCAATAAAGTTCATGTGTCTCATTTTCCTCAGATGCTCCTAAAGACACCTCAGCATCCATCAGTCCATTAGGTTTGGTGTCAGCAGGTAGCTGGGTGGAGCTGAGCTGCTCCAGCAGAGCCAAACCTCCACCCAGATTCACCTGGTTCAGGAAAAGTGAACATGGAGACATTAATGTGTCGGTGGGGCCGATTTACAGCTTCAATGTGACTGAGGGAGAAGAGTTTTACTGTGTGGCTTCAAATGATCTGGGTCAAACCAGATCATCTGTGATCCTAGCTACCAATAAAGGTAATTAATAACAGGTATTAAAAGTGTTAGATCATAGCATTTCAACTGAGTCCATATAATTATTACTTCTTCATGTTACCTGGTGTAAACTGAGTTACTCCAGAGCAAAAGGTTCCCTCAGCAGCTTTACTTCAAACATTGAGACTCTTGTGTATCAATGAGGCAGGTTTACAGACTCCAAATGATCAATCAAGAAGTTATAGAAACTGTCTTAACGTCTGTCAAGAATGATTGTAATTCAGGTACCGTATTTTCCACAGTATAAGTCGCATTTTGAGGAAAATTTATTTGATAAAATCCAACACCAAGAACAGTCATGTCATCTTGAAAGACAATAAAAATAGAATTGAGGCAACAACAGGCTGAATAATTGTACGGTATGTTAACGTAACATTTATATTATAGTTATCTGAATAATTCTTAATATAACATGCTAACATGTTTACCAAACCATTCATGTATTAGACCATAGCATCACTAAACCAATGAAATCTTCATCCTCAATGTCGCCTGTAACCAACTCTGCCAACTCGAAGGTAGAATAAACACCAGCTTAGAACGCCCTCTTGCGGTCTAGTGTGAAAATAACATGTGATATGATATAATGATGTGTTCATTTCCACACATAAGTCGCTTCGGAGTATAAATCGCAGCCCCGGCCAAACTATGAAAAAAACTGAGACTTATAGTCTGAAAAATTTGGTACTTGCAATAAACTCTGACGACATTTAATCTGCGTTTGATTCAATATTTCATGTTTTCATCAAGATTCTGGACTTGGTTTCTGCACTATAATAAAGATCCTGGGACTGGTGATGCTCTGTGGTGCATTCATCATCTTTGAGTGGTGAGAGACAGTTTTTTATGAGTTCATACTTTGAGGTTGCTCACCTGTTGTATTGATTATTCACTAATATGAATCTTGTCTCGTTCATTTTCAGCTGGTTTCGATTCTCCAAGAGACTGATAAAGGTAAACTGACTGAGCTCAACGTGAAGTTAAGCCTTAAAATTTTCAGACTCTTGGCAGATTTACATGTAAATTGATCTTTTTACTTTTTACTATCTTTTTATTTCTGCTGAAATTTGCGGTTGTTGTGTGGACAGTCAGGCCTTTTGCACAATATTGTAGGTAAACTGGAATTAGAACATGTGTTGTGATGAGGCTTGTTTGTCAAAATACTTTTAGAAAATATTAACCATGAAGCAGGTTTTAAACATGTCTCCTAAAAATCAAGTATTAAAATATGTTTTCCAAACCCATTAAAACAAAGTAGCACAGTTCATTAAGAGCAATAATATTTTCTTTTATGCTTGATCTCTACAGGACACAGAAGAAGCAAATGTTGCTGACAGAGTAATGGAGGTTCAGGCGTCTTGAGTCTCGAGGCAAAGATGCTAAATTCATTCTGAGAAGGAGGTTTTTTATATTTCTTCATCCTGTTTTCTGTTTTTGCAAGTGTTATTATTTACAGTAATTTTTAATGTTTTATTTAGCTAAATCATCCAAGCAACTAAATTTTGAGCAAGAAAATGTTTGCAATGCTGTAAGTTTTGCTTTTTCTGCATGAAAAGAGAAATGTAAATAAAATGCAAAAATCTTTGAATTCACATTTCATTGTTCATTGTTCAAGTTTGACACACAACTGAGGTCTTAATGAATCAATTGTAACAGTCTCACATCTTTTTAATGCAAATGTGAAGTTAAATATAAAATGAAGTCAATGTCCACTGGAGGAAAACTTAGATGAGAAAGTTTACAGAACCTGAGGTGGGAACATATAACCTGCTGGGAAAAAACAAGAATGACACTTTTAGTCTGGATTATCAGTCACTCATAAACCAACCGTAAAATAATTCATGTTGAAGATGATGATGCTGATAGAAAGACAAGAACAAATAAAGAGAAAGTTTTGATCATAATCAGAATATTTCATCACACATGACGTTTATTTTCTTCCTATCTGAAATCAGGTTATGCAGAAATAGAGCATCATGTTTCTGAATCAACACAATGATCCAAATTATTCAATTTCAAAGCAATGAGATTATTAAATTATATTTGTATATTCAGAGAATAACATTGAAAACAATCCTGAACACAACACTGAACTAGACTTTGAGACAGATACAAACTGGACAGAACCAGAACCAAAGAGACACATAACATGCAGTCACACACAGACACAAACTCACTACAAATAACATCCATCCATCCAACTTCAAGGTCACAGAGGGACTGGTGTCTGTCTCCAGCTGTCAGCAGCCAGAAGAAGCATCCAGCTTGGACAGGTCATCACAGGTCATTAGTCCATCTCAGGTCCAACCATTGTGTTCTGGAAGTGACTTCCTGTTTCTTTACTGTGGTCTGTTGCTGAACATGTGTTATGTAGTGGTATAGAAATATACCTACTTCTACATAAATTGTCCCCAGGTGAGAAGACTCGGCTGAGTAAAGTGGGCGTGGTATATAAGAACCGCTGCGTCCAGTTGGAGACATGTCGTCTTTGTGCTCCCGCTGTGTCTCGTGGGTTCTGATCGGTAAACTAACGGACTCAGTGTGCTGCATGCTGCGTTGATCTGCTGGCGGTTCAGCGCACTGTGCTGCTCTCCGCCGCTTCCTCATTGTTTGAGTGGATCGGCAGGTCTTTCTCATATTAGGACCATTATTGCTCTTTTGTCTTCCGGATTTCAGCGCTTTTATCAGCAGAGCTCGGACTGTGGTGGCGGTCACGCCTCCAATTAAAGCGGTGTGTGGTGGTGTGCAGCACCGGCGCGCCCAGGTTTCCTCTTGCTGCAGCTTGACCAGCGGACCATTGATATTTAACCTGTATTTTCTGTTTTTTTTTTTTGTTCCAGCCCTTTTGATCCTTATATAACTGTTTATTTATTTGGGCTAATATTGTTGTTCTTTGTTGTATTGGGTTTAAGGTTGTTGCATCTATGAATTGTTACTGTTTTCATCTGTTTGCAGTGCTGAGGTCCAGTGGCGGTGTCTTCATCTTTTGTGTTCCGGTGATTCTTGAGTTTGGGTTGTCCCACTGTGTCTGGTGCTTTACTGTTTTTTTTTTTTTGTTTGTTTGTTGTGTTTGGTGGATGTCATACTCATAGTGGCGCCTTCTGGTGGTAACCTCAGGTACTGCAGCTTCTTTTGTTTTTCCTCAGTGTTTTGTGATAAAGAACTGGTTTTAAAAAAGAGCATTTTAACAGAATTTAATAAATAGTCTTTTATACATGTCAAACTGTCTCAGATGTTTTTATGTGCACTATTGAACCTCTGTGTCTTAAAGAGAAGGTAGTTTTCCCTGGGTGAAATTCCCAAGGTGGCGCTGTTGAGCACTCCAATATTTGGTCCAGCAATTGAAACTGTATAGCATTTGTGTTTCTCGCCACAGTTATGAAGTAAACACAACAATTTAGTCAGTTTATTCATTGATTAATGTGAAAAAATAAACATTAATTAGGAGAATAAAATTCTTTATTTGTCAAACTTTAATTATTTACTTGATATTAGTTTTTTTTGTCTTGACTAAAAAATTATGTGCATTTTTCCATCCTTTAAAATCTTCCATTAAAAGAAATAGATTTTCAGATGTTAATATTCCCAGAGCTCAAGTGTTCATCAGGTCAACGTGATGCTTTACATCTCAATGTTTCTCACATTTTAAATCAGGTTTACTGAAATAGAGTCTCTCTCCCTGTTTATCGTTCTTATTCTAATTTAAATTTGGCTTAATTTCTCTTCTTTTGTCACATCATGACTCTGTCCAATCAGATGTTGCTCCTGTTTCAGAAACTCATTTCTTTTCTTTTCTTTGATGATTTTCAGTCTCTGCCTGCAGATGGAGCAGATGAATATTCCATCTGCAGCTTTCACACTGCAGACGTCCTTCATGTTTCTTTGTGTTCTGAGGAAACTTTAAAATTAACACGGGAAGTTGGTTTGTTGTTTCTTCCGGCTTATCATAGAGAAATTAACCAACGTATTGACTGTAGTGAAAAAACAGAAATATGAGTCAGAGTAACTTCACAGTGTTTGTAGTGATTTCTGTTTTTGAACCTTTGGACCTGTCAGTACTTACAGAGAAGCCTCTGCAGCTGGGTTATTTTTGTAACTCCTGTTTTTCCACATACAAATGATCTTTTATTGCTTGTTTTATTTATTTATTTTTTTTAAATAAATTATCTCAAAATCGTGTCTCTTGTTTGTTGCTAAAATGTTTCCTCACTGTGGTTTTCTGGGTGGAAATGTCTGGTGACGTTGTTGGCAACAAACCAAATCTAATTGCATATTTTTACCCTCTAATTGCCACATAATGTTTGTTCATGAGAGACCACAGCTCTAAAAGTCAGACATGGGAAAAAAAAAGAGCAACAAATATGGACAGCATGTAATAGTGACAAAGAATCAGACTGATTCTAAATGTTTGAGTGAAAAGTATTCACTGGAACAGGAGAAACACGGTCATGAAGAAAACTAATGCAATATTTTGTCCCATTACTGCATCAGTTTCATGAAAAGTTATTTTGATTTGAACCTTATAGCTAAAAAGAAGCTGAAAAGTTGAAATAAAAATGAGAAGTGAGTGTATCAGTTCTGCAAGAAAGAAGAGAAGATATATATTTGCTACAAATGTTTCTGCTAGTGTGCAGCAACAAAATTACACAAACGTGAAGTAATAACGATCAAAAGGTTATTTAAGATAGTTAACTTTATTAAAAATAAAGATCATTTTTATTTTTGTTTTAAATAACAGAATCTTATATAACAGAGACAATGCAAACAAGGCAGGATGGTTGATTTTGGACCCATTCAAGGCAACATGATTTAGCCAGCAGCATTCAGGCTGAAAACAAACCCAAGTGCTTTGTAGAAAATATCAATTTAATTAAAATAATAATAATAATAGAAAAATCTAATCTTTAAAAAGAATTGCATTAAAGGAACAGGTAGGAAATGTTAATGTCATGTTTACTCACACATGGGTATGCCAAAATACAGCTTAACATTATGGCAGATGTTGCAGCACTGTGTAATTCAGTGCTGCAACATCTGGTTTGCATTTACATGATTTTCAGGTAAAAAGATCAAATTGATTCTGGATGAAAGTGGTTTAAAAATGGACTCTTGAGAAACAGCATCATTTCATTTTGTTTAAAATTAGAAAATGTTGCAAACTAGTATTTGTCTGCCAGCTAACATCTGAACCACTTTAGCTCAGTATCAGACAATTCCACCAGTTTTTAATTTATATGATCAATTATTATTGACTGGAAAAAACATTCTGACCCTAAAGACCAAAAATAATAATCATCATAAAATAACAATGTAACTTTACTTTAAGTATTATTGATTCCTAAAAATTACTTTATCCTTTTATGAATAGTTTATAATATGGATCACAAATAAAAAAAGTCATTAAGATACGTGTTTAATGTGTATTAATCTAAACTCTGTCCTTGACTTTCCTGTTTGAGCAGCAATGCTGCTGGTTTGGGGTTATGACTCCTTCTTCCTTCACTTTTTGTCATGTACAAATAAAACTTTCCTTTAGTCTTTGTAAGCAAATGTACATGGTTATATTTGCATCATTCGGTTTTCTTTTAGTGTCATCAGCAGCCTCTAGTATTTCAGTCTTAATGTCACTTTGATTTCTGACTGTATTTCACATATCTACAGTTTATAATGCAGAATATTTTCTTTTCATGCCATTGAGGCTCTGACTTAGTGGAAGTCCAGTTAATTTGCAGAAAATATAAGTAAGTATCTTAATAGCTCATAGATTTATGTGTTGTTCAAATAATGTAAGTGTAAGCTGATTTAAAGCTAAACATTTCTACATCCGATCACTCACAATTATCATAGCACATATTGGTTTCATCTGAAGTGAGGCTGTTGAGTTAAATGTTGAAAAGAGGAGCACTTAAAATAAAAAGAGGAAGTTGGTTTATTTGGTTCGGTCGGAAAGATCCTCAATGCATGTGAAAAGTTAAACTGTGTAGTCAGATTCCCAGCATCTGAACAACTTGCAGTCTTTGTTAGCATTCCTGAAATGTGCATAGTGTACTGATCCAACCCACCAATAGGAAATTATTTCCAGCTCAAATTCGGAGACAATGGATCTTTTTTGGCAATGTTTCTCAGATGATGGAAAAACTAAATAAAGCAGAAACATCTCCATTTAAAATAAGACAAGGTGCAAGTTATTGTCAGGTTCCCATGAGATAATTTTCCATAAATACCAATACGTCTGACTGTCAGTTTTATTTTCGAACAAATGTTTTTGTGGTGCAAAGAAAAGCTCAGCTAAATATAATTATTTCATCTCAGAAACTAGCTCTGCAAGTTGCATCAAAACTGCAGCTACCTTTGAGCAGACAGTGTAAGGAAGAACTGTAAATGTCTTGACACTTGATGAGCAGAAGTTCTGACATCCTCTTTCAAAAAGAAGGAAGGTCAAATGCAGCTGGTTTTAGACAACTGTGCAGCTTTTTAACAGAGAGGACGGCTTTATGATCTGCTGCTGATGGAGTGAAATTCAAGATTTACCAGATTTAAATAAAGACTTTCAAATATAAGGTAAAGAAAAATTACTGAAATTATTTTTTTATTTTACTGCTTTAAAAATATCTTAGTACTCTTTGCTTAAATATTTTGGCATTTGAAAAGGTTTTGATTTAATGATTTAAATCATTTTCATAGTTTAATTTCTCTGACATTCTGGTATAATAAAATGTTATTTCTTTATTTAAAATTACATTTGAACTTTTCCTCACAAGTATGTAACCTAAACAACATAATTTTGTTTAACTGAATTGTTTCCATCTAGTTTCAGGTCTGAGAGAAGATGAAGGACCATCACAGTCTGTCTGAGAACATGTTGACAGTCAACATGTTACTGAGTGTCTTCTTTCTTCCAGGTGAGATGGCTGTTCACTGCCTTTCGTTTGGAGACATCATATAAATTATTTTAGTCTAAAACTTTTGATGGGAATATTGCTTAAATGCTCATTGTGTAACTTGGTGAAGCTGAACTGCAGTTTGTTGATCATGAAGTTTCTCTGCTGACAGATTTTGCTCCTTTATGTTCATCTATGGTCTGTTTTTACAGGTGTCTTTGCTGATCGCTGTGGTGGTCATCAACCTAACTTTCTCATTACAACACCAAAGTCCATTGAAGGGCTGAGTGGATCGTGTTTGCAAGTCCCATGTAGCTTCACAATTAAAGGTGAAGAAGACAAGTTTAACAGAGGAGAACAAACGTCTGCAGCTTGGATTCCAAGTAGTGAGAATATTTTTGACTTCAGGCAGGGAGTTAATAACCATCAAATAAATATCACTGGAAACATAAAAGAGAAAAACTGCACCACTATGTTTTCTGATATAAAGACAAGACAAGAAACTGAATACTTCCTCAGAGTAGAGAGTAGTGAATACAGGGCAACAGCTTGTTCTACTCCTCTTCAGATTACAGTTAAAGGTAAGACTTTTACTCTGAACATCTTACAAAGTTATAAATGGGTTCCAACTTTGATTTAATCAACTTTCACTTTACTTGTTTATGTTTATATGTTATGTTAATTTTATGTTCTGTTACTCAGTATGGTTTATGGTACAATATCTAATTATGTTTAGCTTCTGTTCATAAAGACAACATTTTCTAAATATATGACCTTAGAGCATTTTGTTTTTTATATAATTTATATGAAACCCAATAGTTATTTTTGGTGCTTCTGATCATTTCAGAGGAAATTTGCAGTCATGTTTCACACATCCATTTTCCATCTACAGTAAATATTAATGCATGAGTAAATGCATAACCACATTATAAAAGATGCCTTAAATAAAAGCAGAATCCAGACTTTCTAGCTTTTTCCCCCTAATGACTTTGACTTGTTTTTACTAAAACAAAAACAAATCAAATTTTGGTCTCAACTTGAGTTTTTCCATCCAATAGTTTTGTGCCATATTTTGCAGTGTATTTTGAGACTTGTTAAAGTTTCTTAAACTTTTTTAAAAAAGTCCTTCAAAAACAGTTTGATTCTGAGTAAGGAAATGTGAGGGAGCTGATTTCTCTCATGAACATTTGGGCAGGGGGTCACAGGTCAAGCAAGGGTCACTGCAGGCTGGCAAAGAACAATAATCTAATATTCAGATCTTATTTATACTTTAGAATGACGTCAAACAAGATAAACATAATGAGTTAGTCTGTTGTTATTTCCTTGACCTAAATAATGACATACATTTTTGGACTTCTATATAGATACTCAATTGATTATCTTTATTATCAGTACATTCTCTTTAAAGACTGTTCAGAACAATATAGAGGATTTATGGTCTTTGTGATTTTTGTTGCACAGAAAGAGAAGCAGATTAGTTGATCAGTTTTCTGCTTTAGTCGTGTCTCGTCTGTCCCAACTGGTTGAATTTATCTAAACCACTGAGTCACAGCTTCTTCCATCAATTCTGGTCTCTTAAACTGAAGCTTGGAAATGTATTCATACCTTTCTACAGGTTAAAATATAATTTCTCTAACAATAATTATTGACATATTAAATACTTGTGTACAATGCTTTGTCTCAAGACATATATAGAAATTGATCACCAGTCAGTTGTTTTGTTTCCCCTGAGTTTTAGGAAACTTCGAAAAAAACAAACAAACAAACAAAAACAATTACATGGAGGATGTAAACTCAAATTAACATCAGAGAAATTTGGGAAATCCTTCCAGACTATTAGAAATATTTGACTGTTTATGTGAAATCCAGAGTTTTACAGTAATAGGGTGATTCCTGGGCAATAATCTCAAACAAAATAAATTAATAAATGTCTTATTTAGTCAATTGTTTTCAACATTTTAACACATAATGATGAGACACAGAAAAGCACAAAATGACATGACATTTATTAAAATCGTTGGTCACATGCTCATTACTTTATTCAAAAATTGTTGTTTTGCAGTTTTAATCAGGAAAGTATTCAAAATAAGACTTTATGCTAATTTAATGTGAAATTACAGATTCTCCAGACAAACCCAGAATTGAAACTGATCTGAAAGATCTGAAGGAGCATCAGTCTGTCACTGTAACCTGCTCAGCTTTCACTCCCTGTCCAAACTCACCTCCTGAACTCACCTGGAATCTCCAACAAGACTCTCTCAGACACACAGAGAAAAACACAGATGGAACCTTTACAACTAAAATCCAGGAGATCATCACTCTGTTAGACACACATGATGGATACAACATCAGATGTTCTGCCAGATATCCTGTGATTGGAGGAATCAAGACAGCAGAGACAGAAGTGACTCTCAGTGTTTCATGTAAGTGATCCTGTCAGCAGGTCATGGTTCAGCTGGTTCTGATCAATACAGTTCATGTGTCTCATTTTCCTCAGATGCTCCTAAAGACACCTCAGCATCCATCAGTCCATCAGGTTTGGTGTCAGCAGGTAGCTGGGTGGAGCTGAGCTGCTCCAGCAGAGCCAAACCTCCACCCACATTCACCTGGTTCAGGATCAGTGAAGATGGAGACATTATTGTGTCTGTGGGGCAGATTTACAACTTTTATGCCACTGAGGGAGAAGAGTTTTACTGTGTGGCTTCAAATGATCTGGGGAATCAAACATCTTCTGTGATCCTAGCTACCAATAAAGGTAATTAATAACAGGTATTAAAAGTGTTAGATCATAGCATTTCAACTGAGTCCATATAATTATTACTTCTTCATGTTACCTGGTGTAAACTGAGTTACTCCAGAGAAAAATGTTCCCTCAGCAGCTTTACTTCAAACATTGAGACTCTTATGTATCAATGAGACAGGTTTACAGACTCCAAATGATCAATCAAGAAGTTATAGAAACTGTAGCTAATCTGGTCAGTGAAATGTTTTCCAATACACTTAAAGTCTGTCAAGGATGATTGTAATTCAGGTACCGTATTTTCCACAGTATAAGTTGCATTTTTGACGAAAATTTATTTGATAAAATCCAACACCAAGAACAGTCATGTCATCTTGAAAGACAATAAAAATAGAATTGAGGCAACAACAGGCTGAATAATTGTACTGTATGTTAACGTTACATGACACAAGAACAACAAACTGAGAACATGCCTGGTATGTTAACGTAACATTTATATTATAGTTAACTGAATAATTCTTAATATAACATGTTTACCAAACCATTCATGTATTAGACCATAGCATCACTAAACCAATGAAATCTTCATCCTCAATGTCGCCTGTAACCATCTCTGCCAACTCGAAGGTAGAATAAACACCGGCCTCGAGCGCCCTCTTGCGGTCTAGTGTGAAAATAACATGTGATATGACGTAATGATGTGTTCATTTCCACACATAAGTCGCTTCGGAGTATAAATCGCAGCCCCGGCCAAACTATGAAAAAAACTGAGACTTATAGTCTGAAAAATTCGGTACTTGCAATAAACTCTGACAACATTTAATCTGCGTTTGATTCAATATTTCATGTTTCCATCAAGGTTCTGGACTTGGTTTCTGCACTATAATAAAGATCCTGGGACTGGTGATGCTCTGTGGTGCATTCATCATCTTTGAGTGGTGAGAGACAGTTTTTTATGAGTTCATACTTTGAGGTTGCTCACCTGTTGTATTGATTATTCACTAATATGAATCTTGTCTCGTTCATTTTCAGCTGGTTTCGATTCTCCAAGAGACTGATAAAGGTAAACTGACTGAGCTCAATGTGAATTTAAGCCTTAAAATATTCAGACTCTTGGAAGATTTACATGTAAATTGATCTTTTTACTTTTTACTATCTTTTTATTTCTGCTGAAATTTGCGGTTGTTGTGTGGACAGTCAGGCCTTTTGCACAATATTGTAGGTAAACTGGAATTAGAACATGTGTTGTGATGAGGCTTGTTTGTCAAAATACTTTTAGAAATATTAACCATGAAGCAGGTTTTAAACATGTCTCCTAAAAATCAAGTATTAAAATATGTTTTCCAAACCCATTAAAACAAAGTAGCACAGTTCATTAAGAGCAATAATATTTTTCTTTTATGCTTGATCTCTACAGGACACAGAAGAAGCAAATGTTGCTGACAGAGTAATGGAGGTTCAGGCGTCTTGAGTCACAAGGCAAAGATGCTAAATTCATTCTGAGAAGGAGGTTTTTTATATTTCTTCATCCTGTTTTCTGTCTTTGAAACTATTATTATTTACAGTAATTTTTAATGTTTTATTTAGCTAAATTATCCAAGCAACTAAAGTTTGAGCAAGAAAATGTTTGCAATGCTGTAAATTTTGCTTTTTCTGCATGAAAAGAGAAGAAATGTAAATAAAATGCAAAAATCTTTGAATTCACATTTCATTGTTCATTGTTCAAGTTTGACACACAACTGAGGTTTTGAAGGAACAATTGTAACAGTCTCACATCTTTTTAATGCAAATGTGAAGTTGAATATAAAATGAAGTCAATGTCCGCTGGAGCAAAACTTAGATGCAGTGTGAAAGCTGCAGATGGAATATTCATCTGCTCCATCTGCAGGCAGATACAGAACCTGAGGTGGGAACATATAACCTGCTGGGAAAAAAACAAGAATGACACTTTTAGTCTGGATTATCAGTCACTCATAAACCAACCACAAAATAATTCATGTTAAGATGATGATGCTGATAGAAAGATAAGAACAAATAAAGAGAAAGTTTTGATCATAATCAGAATATTTCATCACACATGACGTTTATTTTCTTCCTATCTGAAATCAAGTTATGCAGAAATAGAGCATCATGTTTCTGAATCAACACAATGATCCAAATTATTCAATTTCAAAGCAATGAGATTATTAAATTTTACATTTGTATATTCAGAGAATAACATTGAAAACAATCCTGAACACAACACTGAACTAGACTTTGAGACAGATACAAACTGGACAGAACCAGAACCAAAGAGACACATAACATGCAGTCACACACAGACACAAACTCACTACAAATAACATCCATCCATCCAACTTCAAGGTCACAGAGGGACTGGTGTCTGTCTCCAGCTGTCAGCAGCCAGAAGAAGCATCCAGCTTGGACAGGTCATCACAGGTCATTAGTCCATCTCAGGTCCAACCATTGTGTTCTGGAAGTGACTTCCTGTTTCTTTACTGTGGTCTGTTGCTGAACATGTGTTATGTAGTGGTATAGAAATATACCTACTTCTACATAAATTGTCCCCAGGTGAGAAGACTCGGCTGAGTAAAGTGGGCGTGGTATATAAGAACCGCTGCGTCCAGTTGGAGACATGTCGTCTTTGTGCTCCCGCTGTGTCTCGTGGGTTCTGATCGGTAAACTAACGGACTCAGTGTGCTGCATGCTGCGTTGATCTGCTGGCGGTTCAGCGCACTGTGCTGCTCTCCGCCTCTTCCTCATTGTTTGAGTGCGTTTCTGTGGCTCGGCAGGTCTTTCTCATATTCGGACTTTTTGTCTTCCGGATTTCAGCGCTTTTATCAGCAGAGCTCGGACTGTGGTGGCGGTCACGCCTCCAATTAAAGCGGTGTGTGTGTGGTGTGCAGCACCGGCGCGCCCAGGTTTCCTCTTGCTGCAGCTTGACCAGCGGACCATTGATATTTTAACCTGTATTTTCTTTTTTTTTTCTTTTTTTTTTTTTTTTTGTTCCAGCCCTTTTGATCCCTTATATAACTGTTTATTTATTTGGGCTAATATTGTTGTTCTTCTGTTGTATTGGGTTTAAGGTTGTTGCATCTATGAATTGTTTTTTGTTTTCATCTGAGGTGCTGAGGTCCAGTGGCGGTGTCTTCATCGTTTGTGTTCCGTGATTCTTGAGTTTGGGTTGTCCCACTGTGTCTGGTGCTTTACTGGGTTTTTTTTTGTTTGTTGTGTTTGGTGGATGTCATACTCATAGTGGCGCCTTCTGCTGGTAACCTCAGGTACTGCAGCTTCTTTTGTTTTTCCTCAGTGTTTTGTGATAAAGAACTGGTTTTAAAAAAGAGCATTTTAACAGAATTTAATAAATAGTCTTTTATACATGTCAAACTGTCTCAGATGTTTTTATGTGCACAATTGAACCTCTGTGTCTTAAAGAGAAGGTAGTTTTCCCTGGGTGAAATTCCCAAGGTGGCGCTGTTGAGCACTCCAATATTTGGTCCAGCAATTGAAACTGTATAGCATTTGGGTTTCCACTAGTCTCGCCACAGTTATGAAGTAAACACAACAATTTAGTCAGTTTATTCAATGATTAATGTGAAAAAATAAACATTGATTAGGAGAATAAAATTCTTTATTTGTCAAACTTTAATTATTTACTTGATACTAGTTTTTTTGTCTTGACTAAAAAATTATGTGCATTTTTCCATCCTTTAAAATCTTCCATTAAAAGAAATAGATTTTCAGATGTTAATATTCCCAGAGCTCAAGTGTTCATCAGGTCAACATGATGCTTTACATCTCAATGTTTCTCACATTTTAAATCAGGTTTACTGAAATAGAGTCTCTCTCCCTGTTTATCGTTCTTATTCTAATTTAAATTTGGCTTCACTTCTCCTCTGTTGTCACATCATGACTCTGTCCAATCAGATGTTGCTCCTGTTTCATAAACTCTTTTCTTTTGATAATTTTCAGTCTCTGCCTGCAGATGGAGCAGATGAATATTCCATCTGCAGCTTTCACACTGCAGACGTCCTTCATGTTTCTCTGTGTTCTGAGGAAACTTTAAAATTAACACGGGAAGTTGGTTTGTTTATTCCGGCTTATCATAGAGACACTAACCAACGTATTGACTGCAGTGAAAAAACAGAAATATGAGTCAGAGTAACTTCACGGTGTTTGTAGTAATTTCTGTTTTTGAACCTTTGGACCTGTCAGTATTTGCAGAGAAGCCTCTGCAGCTGGGTTTATTTTTGTAACTCCTGTTTTTCCACATACAGATGATCTTTTATTGCTTGTTTTATTTATTTATTTCTTTTAATAAATTATCTCAAAATCGTGTCTCTTGTTTGTTGCTAAAATGTTTCCTCTGTGGTTTTCTGGGTGGAAATGTCTGGTGACGTTGTTGGCAACAAACCAAATCTAATTGCATATTTTTACCCTCTAAATGCCTCATAACGTTTGTTCTTGAGAGACCACAGCTCTAAAAGTCAGACATGGAAAAAAAAAAAGAGCAACAAATATGGACAGCATGTAATAGTGACTAGGAATCAGACTGATTCTATTAAACAAATGTTTGAGTGAAAAGTATTCACTGGAACAGGAGAAACACGGTCATGAAGGAAACTAATGCAATATTTTGTCCCATTACTGCATCAGTTTCATGAAAAGTTATTTAGATTTGAACCTTATAGCTGAAAAGAAGCTGAGAAGTTGAAGTAAAAGAGAAGTGAGTGTATCAGTTCTGCAAGAAAGAAGAGAAGATATATATTTGCTACAAATGTTTCTGCTAGTGTTCAGCAACAAAACGATCAAAAGGTTATTTAAGATAGTTAACTTTATTGAAAATAAAGATAATTTTGTATTTTTGTTTTACATAACAGAATCTTATATAACAGAGACAATGCAAACAAGGCAGGATGGTTGATTTTGGACCCATTCAAGGCAACATGATTTAGCCAGCAGCATTCAGGCTGAAAACAAACCCAAGTGCTTTGCAGAAAATATCAATATAATTAAAATAATAATAATTTTAAACATCTAATCTTTAAAAAGAATTGCATTAAAGGAACAGGTAGGAAATGTTAATGTCATGTTTACTCACACATGGGTATGCCAAAATACAGCCTAACATTATGGCAGATGTTGCAGCACTGTGTAATTCAGTGCTGCAACATCTGGTTTGCATTTACATGATTTTCAGGTAAAAAGATCAAATTGATTCTGGATGAAAGTGGTTTAAAAATGGACTCTTGAGAAACAGCATCACTTCATTTTGTTTAAAATTAGAAAATGTTGCAAACTAGTATTTGTCTGCCAGCTAACATCTGAACCACTTTAGCTCAGTATCAGACAATTCCACCAGTTTTTAATTAATATGATCAATTATTATTGACTGGAAAAACATTCTGAACCTAAAGACCAAAAATAATAATCATCATAAAATAACAATGTAACTTTACTTTAAGTATTATTGATTCCTAGAAATTACTTTATCCTTTTATGAATAGTTTATAATATGGATCACAAATAAAAAAAGTCATTAAGATACGTGTTTAATGTGTATTAATCTATTCTTTGTCCTTGACTTTCCTGTTTGAGCAGCAATGCTGCTGGTTTGGGGTTATGACTCCTTCTTCCTTCACTTTTTGTCATGTACAAATAAAACTTTCCTTTAGTCTTTGTAAGCAAATGTACATGGTTATATTTGCATCATTCGGTTTTCTTTTAGTGTCATCAGCAGCCTCTAGTATTTCAGTCTTAATGTCACTTTGATTTCTGACTGTATTTCACATATCTACAGTTTATAATGCAGAATATTTTCTTTTCATGCTGTTGAGGCTCTGACTTAGTGGAAGTCCAGTTAATTTGCAGAAAATAAAAGTAAGTATCTTCTTAGCTCATAGATTTATGTGTTGTTCAAATAATGTAAGTGTAAACTAATGCAAAGCTAAACATTTCTACATCTGATCACTCACAATTATCATAGCACATATTGGTTTCATGTGAAGTGAGGCTGTTGAGTTAAATGTTGAAAAGAGGAGCATTTGAAATAAAAAGAGGAATTTGGCTTATTTGGTTCGGTCGGAAAGATCCTCTTTGCATCGAGAATGGAGCCACATGTGAAAAGTTAAATAGTGTAGTCAGATTTCCTGCATCTGACCAACTTGCAGTCTTTGTTAGCATTCCTGAAATGTGCATTGTGTACTGATCCAACCCGAACAAAAGGAAATTATTTCCAGCTCAAATTCGGAGTCAATGGATCTTTTTTGGCAATGTTTCTCCAGTGATGAAAAAACTAAATAAAGCAGAAACATCTCCATGTAAAATAAGACAAGGTGCAAGTTATTGTCAGGTTCCCATGAGATGATTTTCCATAAATACCAATACGTCTGACTGTCAGCTTTATTTTCGAACAAATGTTTTTGTGGTGCAAAGAAAAGCTCAGCTAAATATAATTATTTCATCTCAGAAACTAGCTCTGCAAGTTGCATCAAAACTCCAGCTACCTTTGAGCAGACAGTGTAAGGAAGAACTGTAAATGTCTTGACACTTGATGAGCAGAAGTTCTGACATCCTCTTTCAAAAAGAAGGAAGGTCAAATGCAGCTGGTTTTGCACAACTGGGCAGCTTTTTGACAGAGAGGACGGCTTTATGATCTGCTGCTGATGGAGTGAAATTCAAGATTTACCAGATTTAAATAAAGACTTTCAAATATAAAAAAAATACTGAAATTATTTTTTTTATTTTACTGCTTTAAAAATATCTTAGTACTTTTTGCTTAAATATTTTGGCATTTGAAAAGGTTTTGATTTAATGATTTAAATCATTTTCATAGTTTTAATTCTTTATTTAAAATTACATTTGAACTTTTCCTCACAAGAATGTAACCTAAACAACATAATTTTGTTTAACTGAATTGTTTCCATCTAGTTTCAGGTCTGAGAGAAGATGAAGGACCATCACAGTCTGTCTGAGAACATGTTGACAGTCATCATGTTACTGAGTGTCTTCTTTCTACCAGGTGAGATGGCTGTTCACTGCCTTTCGTTTGGAGACATCATATAAATTATTTTAGTGTAAAAATTTTGATGGGAATATTGCTTAAATGCTCATTGTGTAACTTGGTGAAACTGAACTGCAGTTTGTTGATCATGAAGTTTCTCTGCTGACAGATTTTGCTCCACTTTATGTTGATCTATGGTCTGTTTTTACAGGTGTCTTTGCTGATCCCTGTAATGGTAATCAACCTGCCTTTCTCATTAAAACACCAAAGCTCATTGAAGGGCTGAGTGGATCGTGTTTGCAAGTCCCATGTAGCTTCACAATTAAAGGTGAAGAAGACAAGTTTAACAGAGGAGAACAAACGTCTGCAGCTTGGATTCCAAGTAATAAGGATATTTTTGACATCAGGCAGGGAGTTAATAACCACCAAATAAATATCACTGGAAACATAAAAGAGAAAAACTGCACCACTGTGTTTTCTGATGTAAACACAACACAAGAAACTGAATACTTCCTCAGAGTAGAGAGTAGTGAATACAAGGGAACAGCTTGTTCTACTCCTCTTCAGATAACAGTTAAAGGTAAAACTTTTACTCTGAACATCTTACAAAGTTATAAATTGGTTCCAACTTTGATTTAATCAACTTTCACTTTACTTGTTTATGTTTATATGTTATGTTAATTTTATGTTCTGTTACTCAGTATGGTTTATGGTACAATATCTAATTATGTTTAGCTTCTGTTCATAAAGACAACATTTTCTTGAAGCATTTTGTTTTTTATATAATTTATATAAAACCCAATAGTTATTTTTGGTGCTTCTGATCATTTCAGAGCAAATTTTTAGTCGTGTTTCACAGATCCATTTTTCATCTATAGTAAATATTAATGCATGAGTAAATGCATAACCACATTATAAAAGATGCCTTAAATAAAGGCAGAATCCAGACTTTCTAGCTTTTTTTCCCTCATGACTTCAACTTGTTTTTACTAAAACAAAAACAAATCAAATTTTGGTCTCAAGTCGACTTTTTCCATTCAATAGTTTTGTGCCATATTTTGCAGTGTATTTTAAGATTGTTAAAGTTCCTTAAACTTAAAAAAAAATACTTCAAAAACAGTGAGTGAGCTGATTTCTCTCATGAACATTTGGGCAGGGGGTCACAGGTCAAGCAAGGGTCACTGTAGGCTGTCAAAGAACAATTATCTAATATTCAGATCTAAGATAAACATAGTGAGTTAGTCTGTTGTTATTTCCATGACCTAAATAATTTTCTGTCACATATCATGTTATGATAAATGTTTGGACTCCTATATAGATACTCAATTGATTATCTTTATTATCAGTACATTCTCTTTAAAGACTGTTCAGAACAATATAGAGGATTTATGGTCTTTGTGATTTTTGTTGCACAGAAAGAGAAGCAGATTAGTTGATCAGTTTTCTGCTTTAGTCGTGTCTCGTCTGTCCCAACTGGTTGAATTTATCTAAACCACTGAGTCACAGCTTCTTCCATCAATTCTGGTCTCTTAAACTGAAGCTTAGAAATGTATTCATACCTCTCTACAGATAACTACTGATACTCTGTCAAATTATAATTTCTAAAACACTAATCATTGATCTATTAAAGACTTTTCAAAATAGGTTACCAGATATAATTTAGGAGACATGTCTAGAAAATGATTACCAGACTGTTGTTTAGTTACTTCTGAACCTCAAGAAAAATTACATGAAGGCTCTAAATAGTTAGAAGAATTGAGAAATCATTTGAGACTATTTACAATTTTTTTACTCTTTATATGAAATTCCAGATTCTCCCTGGAGTCCCAGCATTAAGTTTCCCTCTGACCTGAAGGAGCATCAGTCTGTCATTGTAACCTGCTCAGCTTTCACTCCCTGTCCAAACTCACCTCCTGAACTCACCTGGAATCTCCAACAAGACTCTCTCAGACACACAGAGAAAAACAGAGATGGAACCTTTACAACTAAAATCCAGGAGAACATCACTCTGTTAGACACACATGATGGATACAACATCAGATGTTCTGCCAGATATCCTGTGATTGGAGGAAACAAGGCAGCAGAGACAGAAGTGACTCTCAGTGTTTCATGTAAGTGATCCTGTCAGCAGGTCATGGTTCAGCTGGTTCTGATCAATAAAGTTCATGTGTCTCATTTTCCTCAGATGCTCCTAAAGACACCTCAGCATCCATCAGTCCATCAGGTTTGGTGTCAGCAGGTAGCTGGGTGGAGCTGAGCTGCTCCAGCAGAGCCAAACCTCCACCCACATTCACCTGGTTCAGGATCAGTGAACATGGAGACATTAATGTGTTTGTGGGGCAGATTTATGGCTTCAATGTTACTGAGGGAGAAGAGTATTACTGTGTTGCTAAAAATAATCTGGGTCATCAGAACTCATCTGTGATTCGAGCTACCAGTAAAGGTAATTCATAAAAGATATTCAATAGAAACCATTTATTACATTTCTCCAAAATTCTCTGCAACAAATCTCCATATAACTTGTTTCCTCTTTTATAATCCAATTTTCTTTCCTTGGACTCATCTTGTTTTTCCTTTATTGCAACAGGGAACTTTTCATTTTGGACTCCACTTTTTCTATCAATCAGTGTCATTTTGCTCATCTGTCTGGTGTTTTGTGTTTGGTGAGTCTCATCAATTGATGTGATTTAGAGGAATGCATGATGTCATTGTTCATTTTTAGTCATTCCCTTTTTAATGCACAATATACAGTATCTTGGATCAAACTTGAGGATTTTGTCATTGTGTATTATCACTGAACATAGAACTTGAGTTGGACAGCAGGGACATGCATTAAATGCTAATCAGAACTGATCATATTTAGTTATGTAAAAGCCCCACATTTTTGAGACAATAATTGAAATAATGCAATCAGTCCTAAAGTCTTGGCAAAATTCAATTTTTTTTCTGCATCAGGTGACTCTTCCTTTATAGTAAATAAATGAATGTGAGCAAGGTGAATGGAACAAAGAAAAATGTTTATTGTTTTCTGTACATTGAAGTGTAGACAGGTGCAAATTTTTGTTATTTTTACCCCCTTTTTGTGTACAAATGAAACTTATCCTCTGTAAGAGAAACAAAAGTTTTTTTCTTTTGGTGATTTTATATATCTATTAATCCTCTGACATTTGCCTGAAATCAGTTTGTGTCTTTTCATTGTCTCCTGAAATATATCATAATCATGCTCACAGATCTCTGATGTCTTGTAGGAGGTTCAAGTCCAAACATCCAACTCCACGACAGACTCAGGTGAGTCAAAGTTCACCTTTTATGTCGTGAGTTGCATTTGTGGATGCATCTGTGTGAAACATGCATGTCGTTTTTCCTCAGCCTCAAACAGAGACAGAGGTTCAAATGCCAGATGAAAAGCCAGATGAAGAAATCCACTACGGTGAAGTGAACTTCCTCCCCGGGAGAGCTGAAGCCTCTGCCGTCTCAGTGCAGGACAGCGGACAGCAGGAGACGGTGTACGCTCCGGTCAAAGTGTCTGCTGATCGTTCAGAGGATATCTACGCTCATGTCAAGAAAAACTAACTGATGTTGTTGGATAAAAAAAATACATACTTTTTTTTAAATGTCGCAATTTAAAAGACAAATATCTTCATGTTCCATTTCACTTTTTTTTTCCCTCGTAAAATGATTATGATTCAATTTTAGGCCTCTTGTCGTTACATGACCTGCTAAGTTCTTTGCATTTCACACCATGTCAGATAATAGTGGAAGGTTTTTATGTTCCACTATTTAACACACAAACAAGACGAAAAAAACTTTTTATCAAAGTAGCATTTTAAAAAAGGGATAACTTTTGTTTCACCACAGAATCCACCGAGAGCTCTTTCTAGCAGTGGATTTTCAAATATTCAGTTTTTCAGAAATCCACAAAAATGCTTATGTGCTGTATTATAATTTTTTTAAAAGTCTGTAATGATTTTTTTCAATCTGCTTCAGCTGCTGTTTCTCTTTAATCCTCATCACAGAAATTTAATGTGTGAGCAGGTTTTGTTTTCAAGGATGACTGCATACATTTTATTGATATTTTGATTTTGTTCACATTTTATTTTGTTTTAGCTTTTGAATATATCTGATTTTAATCAACAATTTCGAATTCTATGTATTATGTTTATTAATGTTATATTGAAACAGTATCATATCAAGTCAAATGGATTATGCTGCAAATGGTGACATTAAATACTAAACACAGCAACACAAAATAATTTTTTTGTCATAGAGAATACAACACATTTTACAATTAAATAAGAAAAGCATTTTATTGTGGACTGTTCTCTCACACAGCAGGTCCAACTAAATTCAGCATCTGGAGGAACATATTTACAAATAGTTTAGCTCTATCAATCAATCTACATAGACTTTTAACCGTAATCATGTAACATTATTTAGAATGTGCTCAGAAGGATCTAAATTTAGGCTTCCTGTTAACCTGAGCTCAACCCATCGTCAGAAGTCTTACAGAGTGATGCATTTCACATATTGCTGAAATGTAATCGGTAGATATACATCCCAGGTCAAATATGATCATCTGCTCACCAACACCAGCTCTTGTTTTTCTGTCAGTGTTAGATACAACAGCACTTTGTTTAACAAAGTGTTGGTACAATATAAAAGCGATCAGAGAGAAAATTGTGCCAAGTCCTTCTTCTTTTCACTAAAGCGAGTGCTGATTTCTCCAACAGCCTTCGCATGCTCCTCATCCACCTCCTCCTTTAGTCTCTGCTGCTCCTTCAGAAACTCCGCCCAGTCCTCTTTCAGTTTTTCCATGTTCGCCTGCAGCTGGTTGCTCTGCAAGATTATGATGATAAAACATTGGTTAATACTTCAAGAAAATTGTGTCTTGATTTTAAAACAGAACTGTCCAGTAAGGTCAGATCGTCTCAATCCAATGCCAAGTTGTGGTTACTCGTTGTCTTTACCTGTTGGGTCTCCAGCTCCCTCTGCTGGACTCTCTCTGCCATGTGATTAGCAGCCTCCACTGGGGGAGGAGATGAGATCAGCTCGCAATCATTTAATTGCACAAGATTCACTGTGATTAGAAGAAGTCATAAATGATAATGTGGAAGTTACTTACAGCGCTTACTGATGTCAGATAGTCTCTGGCTAATTTCCTGTAAATTAGCGGGCACCATTTGCTCGTTTGTCTCCTGTATCGTTTTATTCAGGTTCTCCAAAAGCCGAATCTCCCTTAGGCCTCGCTTCTCCTAAAGAAAAACGCAAACCAATACGCATTTGTTCAACGTAATGTATCAATGTATGAGCCAATTGATTTGTGTGAAAACCACGGCGGGGTTAACATGTGTGACCACTAATAATAAGCATTTGAAAGGCTGCATCAATGTTATGGTTAAACTACCTCAAACTCTCTGACAAAGTAGCGAACTTCTGCACTGATAACAGGCCTGTGGTCCAACAGTCTGGACTGGATGTCACCAACATCTGCAGAATCAACAGGTAAATACACTTTACGCAAAAAAAGAAAACAGAAAAATTACACGTAATTCAATATGTGGGATCCTGAAAACACATCACAAAAAGGGGTTAGGCGCCAGCAAATCTATCTACTTTATTAGCCCAACTGATAAAGTACGGCGTGGTCTTGAAGAGGAAATGGCATAAACATAAATTGTAGACAATAACTCACCTTTAGCAATCTTCTCCATCATTAGAAGGTCTCCCGAATGTTGCTTTTGAAATTAAACCCTGATGTTTGTCTCTGGAGAGCAGCTGCTAGCTAAACAAACTGCTAATGTAGCAGCTTCTAAATTGGATATTGTGCTAATTTAAGGATTTCAGTCAGAGTGAAGAAGACAGCAACTCAGTACAGACTACAAGTAACTAACGGAACCCCTTTGTGTATCATAAATAGCTGCAGGAACATTTTACAAGCTAGTAGGTTCTGTCAGTCAGGTGAGAGGAAGTCAGCTGACTCCAATTGTAAATAAATGTACTACTTCCGGGTGACGGACAGAACCAAGTTTTTTTTGTCTAACTTTATTTAAACAAAGTAAGCACAAAGAACAGTGCAACTCTAAAGAGGGCATAACAGAGGTAAATTTCAAAATGGAAATACAAAGTAATATTTTAAAAAAAGCATATAATAATAATAATAATAATAATAATAATAATAATAATAATAATAATAATAATAATGAGACATTAACGAAATTAGCAACAAGGGGATTCATATGCTAGGGTTAATATACATTTCAGAGACTTCAAATATAACTGGAAATCATATTAAAAAAATAAAAATAAACTGGGGATGATCTTAACACTCTTTGTTTATAAATAAATAATTTTGCCAAACAAAATATGGGGTTACTACATGATTTTATTGTTTTGTATTTCAGTAACACTCCAAAAGAAATAGATTCAGCAAGTGCGATTTTCGATTTGATCCCGCTTTCTAAGCAATTCCAAAACGTTTTGGTTTGATTGCATTCATAGAAGACCTGGTCTATCGTTTCTGCATCACTTTCATAGAATCCACATTTATCATCATTGATATTGAAGCAATTTATCAGTAGTTCATTAAGGGGTAAATTACATTTAAAAATTTAAAGCGTGTTTCTTTAACTTTTAGTTGTATGGGAAGTTTTAAATAAAGAGTTCTTAACCTTTCAACATATATATTTTTTTCAAACTTGCAAATAATGTAATTTTAATGTATTTTCCAGGGAATAAAGTCTCATTTAGACAGTTTCTAATTGTTTGGTTATTAAATTTTTGGTCAGTGAATGATATTACATTAATAGAAAAAAAATGGGGTAACTGTGGGATCATCCGATGATATGTCATTATATTTTTAATCTGATTAATAAATGGCTTTGGTAAGGGATTATTCAAATTCAGCTTTTGGGGGAAAGAATTGATATTTTGCACAGAATAGTTTGCATAGTTTAACATGTAACCATTAGCATCCAGTATGTGTATTATAGGCCAAATATTCTTCTCCATCCAATCTTTGTAAAATCAGGATTTATTGCGTTGAAATATGAAACTGTTATTCCATATGTTAGAGGAGTGAGGCGAGTAGTTATGTACATAGAGCATCTGCATGTCTGACACTAGATGTCAGTGTTGCTCCGAAGTTGAAAGCAACAATCAGACTAAATGAACTTCACTTCTGACCAATAGAGCTTTATCTTTACCTTTATATGTTTGAGTCCAGTCTTGTATTTAAGGAAATTTATTGAACTATAAACTGTGTGTTGATTTCTTCAATGGTTATGCAAGTCTGGGAATGCATAAGCAAACTAAAACAAAAAAAAGGTGGATTTTTACACCTTTGCATTGAGCTCCTGTCCACATTTGGTCCTTTTTCAGCTAGGCTTATAATAATCCCCCAATATGTTGGGTCAAAAATGGCACTATCCAATTGAATAAATTGAGTATTAATATTTCAATATAAGTGATAAATCTGACAAAAATAAAAATAACTATACATAGCAACATTAATGAATAATAATATTAAAATCAACCAAATTCTTTGTGAATTTTACTAGAATTATTATTGATTTTAACATCTTCTAACTTTATTTATTTTTCTACAAACCCCCCTTTCCTCCCCACCCAATACAAAATGCAGTATTGTAAAAGGTACATCCTGGAACGTTTCTTCTACTTTTGGTTTATGACACCCATTTTTAAATCAACAAATGTAATCGTCAACAATGACAACTCAACTAAAACAAAAACACAGTATTGAAATTCTAGTTTTTCTCAGTTGAGAAAGCTTTCCAAATCAGCCAGTACTAAAATATAACTTTATGTGTCTTAAATACAGTGTAATTGTCTATTAAGACCTTAAGAATCAGTGCTGTCAAGTGATTTTAATGTATGTGTGCTTTCTTCATGACAGTAGATGTCAGTGTTGCTCTTTAGTTGAGCACAGTGTTGCTTTTAAAAACTCACACTGTCACATTACTTCCCTGCTGAGATGCAGTATGATAACAGTGTATGTTAAATGTTTTAGTGTTTATGTTTTATGACTTTTACATTTCTGTCATACTGTTTATAAACTTTAAAGTCCATTTTATGAGAACAGCTAATCGAGTGACACAGCGCTGACACTCCATCTCTCTTGTTGCTGCTCCCTGCAGGTCCGCTGGCTGAAAGAAAAACAATTTTACCTCACTTACAAGACAAATTTAGCTGTTAAAAATACTTCTGGCTGATAATCACAGACAGTCATGGTAATTTACAGGAGAGCCATATGTCATTCTTGTTAAGGTAGTGCTGTTTTAATACATTTACATAAAATATTGTTACTTCAAACAGCTTCATCATCAGCTACAGCTATATTTTTGTTTTTCAGTTTTCTGTATCTTTACATGATGCAATAATATTTTTAATCTTATTGTACTCAATGTTTTGTGGCAGTCAATAACCTCTCAAATATGAAATTTGCGCAAGTTGTCAGATCTGTTTGCGCATTTCTGCTTTGCTATTATTTGTGGTGGGACTGTCCCATAGATAAGTGATATGTCACTTATCTATGGGATAGAGCAAAAACACATACATGATAATTCATTGTTCATTGCTAAAAGACTGTCATAAGTCAGCTTGTGTAGTCCAGGAACATTTATGACTATAAAACAGCTCAGTTTGCACAATTGTCTTCATCTTCCCCTGCCCCACAAGATGGCACTAAACCCATCAGTCACTCTGAATCCGTTGGTATCCAAAAAAGTCTGTGCGGTTAATCTTGGTTTAGCAAACACTTGCTGCACACCGTGACATGCAAATATTTTGGAATAAATGTATTTATAAGCAGATCATTCTTGGCGAGAACAAACTCACTCAGTCAGAGTGAGAAGAGGCATAGTTGGGGGCAAACGTTACATATTAGTTGTCAAAAGTTTGCTTGGAAGCCCCATATTCATTTGAACTGTCATGCTCAGTTAGGAGAAAATCATTAAGATTCCACTTAAGTCCCCCCTCTTTACTGTCCACATTTGTTTAGTTAAACACTTATTACATGCACCATTAGTTTTGATTGGAGCCTATTAAAGAGATTAAGTGATTGATCAGTAGCCGAGGGATAAAAGCGAGTGGTGCGCTGCAGCCTGGGGTCTGCGTGAAAAGCACGAGAGGATCTCTGACAAGAAAACATGTCAGAACCAGCAAAGGCCTCCCTGACAGGAATGTGCATCATTCTCTTGTTTTGTTTATTTATGACCCCGGAGGGCAAAATTAAAAACATTCAGATAAAATGTGAAACTGTTAGCGGGGCTTGTTGAACACACCATTGATTATCATATTCATACCGAGGTCCGACATGCAGACTGCAACTCAACAAATTGGAAAACTCTGAAACTGTAAATCACTCCCATATATTACATCATATCTATATGATGGTAGTAGCACAAAATACGTATATCCTTTGCAAATTTAGATGTATAAATGGTATCCAGCCTGGAAGTTCTGTTTTTGACTGGAAATGAGATGTGACATTGCAAAAAAAAAAAAGAAATAAAAACATTAACTCTGAGAAACTTCAAATTATTTAGCATCTTTTTAAAATCACATGTTGGAAATCACTTCTCAATATTCAATAAAGCAATTGGTTACAATCTTACATATTTCTTTTCTCAGAATATATATTTTTTTACTCTTAACTTGAATAGTTTCTTGGACGAGTACTTTTTTTTTACTTCTGCATGCATGAAAACACGTTGTTGTGGTTCTACTTTCATTTGAATCCAGTTTCTGCTTCCTCTCTTTGCCTCTGTTTACCTTTGCAGATGAGCTGCACGTCTTCACACCGGGGAAGTCTTTTTTCTTCCCAAAACCTTAATCTTTTGCTTCCTCCAGAGTCACAGCCTGTCCTCTTGAAATGCTGCAGGGCAACTTTAAATGTATAAGTGTATGACTATTTTTCAATGCTTATCCAGGCCTGCACCTCACTTTATATACAATTTATTAATCAAAATGGTAATTCAATACTTATACGGATGCAAATTTGCTCTCAAGTCACCTACATATCAGAGCCCTATTTATATCCACACATTTTAATACAAATTAAAAGATAAAATAATTTATTTTAACAAATCTCATTCATATATGTATATATTAATTATACACTTATGTTTTTTATTCTTGAAAAAATTTTTTTTTTTGTGCTTACTTTCTTTGTCTGGACTATTCTGATATGCACATGATTTTAGAAATGGCTGCTTTAAATTACATTTCCCTGTCAGGTTACACCTCTGTATGCTTGAATAAATTTAGAAGATTACTTATAAGTCTTTTTGCTTTGAATATCACACGAGCACTTTTCAGTAGGGCCACCAAATTCAGACATTTCATAAGTTGAAATGGGACACCCATCAGGTGAAATAAAGCTTTCCAACAGCATGATGCTGCCAACACCATGTTTCATGAGGGGCATATTGTCCTCAGTTTGACATGAAATATGAGTTTTAATCCCCACTGCTCTTTTCTTGCGGGCCAAAATGTACATTGGTGCTTCATCTTTTACATTCACATCCATTTTAGCATCCATTAAACTTTCTGTTGATGCTGGATGTCGTACAGTTAAAATGTTTGAAAAAAAAAAACATGCAGGGTTGAGATTATTGCAGCTTTTCAGACATGGGAACGCCTCGCCATCATCATCATAATACACATATTTGTTCCTCTCCATAATTATGTGCGAGCACTCTGATGTTGTGACTGTAATTTTGCATGCAGAAGCTCGCTGCGTGGCAGCGGATCTTGTTTCGCCGAGCTTGGGTCTCACAAGTCTATTAAGTGAATTGTGTTTTCTAATTTGACACCACTGCACACTCTGCTGAGGCATTCTGGGACACTCTCCCAGAAATCAGTGTTCTCAAAGTTATAGCCTTGTAAAGGCCTGAAATAAATGCCAGCCTTTATGTTAGTAATGCAGGTTTTTTTTTTTTTTTTTCCAGTTT